TTTTACAGTGAGGACCATTACTTTCTAAATCAGTTTTTGGCATAGCCAAATAACAAGTATTTATTTCCACCTACACCAATTTAGGCCGAGACAGTTTTCTTTGTGTCTTTCTTTGAAGGCAGTTACTGACATGCAAAGATGTTACTGCAGACCAAAAGATCTAAAGCTGCAGGTCATGGGAGGATATTAAATGATAAGCAAATTCACATTTCTAAAGTAATTCTACCAATTTATTAGCAATGCCAGCTCCCGTTCCACAGTAGGGGAGGTAATAACGAAGACTTGTTAAAGGGCAATGTGATATCTTTTATGTAATGTCTTTTTTAATTTGTGATGAAGTCATTAAAGCAGCACTGTATCTCCTTGAAGCTTCAAACAATAGTCGGCATTAAATCTCCTGTGCAAAATTAAGGACAGTAGTTCACTGGGAAAAATAAGCATCTGTTCTTGCTAATGCTAATGGCCTTCTAAAAATCATTAAACTATTCTAAATTGGCCATGATAAAACAAAGCAAAACTGTTTTAACTTCTTCCAAAGCAAAGAGAAAATCCATTTTCCTTGCAAATACTTTGTTCCAAATTTGCTCAGTAACCTGGTAACCTGTACTTCATAAGGCATTTCTTTCTTATGAAGTTGCCTAAATCTCATTCACCCACAATCGTTTGGCTTCTTAAATCTGCATTAGTGAAAGCTTCTCTTTACTTCATTTACACAGTCTGTAGACCCTGAGTCACGACCATCTCTCTCTACTCACAGGCTTGAAGGAACTGGTACTTCAGTCATAGCTGAAATACAGTTTTTAGCTCCCCAGTTTCTTACAGCTTAACAAGAAACTTGTCTATTCTTCCGTGGAACCAGCTCACACAGCTTTGTTCTACGCTTACCCTGAAATCTTAGTTGGCCTACACTTTCTTCTCTGTTGTGTCCCTTCTGCTGTGTTGCCTTTTAAATACAAATTTAATTACTCTATATACGTAACATTTCTGCTGTATAAGTATACTTTCTTAACATTGCTGTGCAGAGATGTCAGCTTGGGTTTGAATATAGAACACCCTAGCACAATGCAGAAACAGACATATCATGAAACAAAGCAAAATCAAAGATCTCATAGCAAGACAGACAAAGATCTTGGAGTTCAACGCACAGACAGTAAAGAACGACCTCATACTTCACCTACCCTGCAAAAAGATCAAGGTCCCCAAAAAGAAAACAATGGATTGACTCCAAATCATCGGAAAATGCTTAGTCTCAGGTTTAATTAATTGCTCTGTCCTGGTTCACAACTGGAATCTCTATAACAACCACATGTTGTCAAGGGCCAGCATCAGGTGAATACCAGGTTACCCAGAGCAGAAGATGGAAGACAAATTTCTAATGGAAGTGCATGTGGACAAGTGGTGCCTCCTTCACCATAGCCATAACCTGGGTCTGTTAAACCTAAGAAGACTGAGAGGTATCTGATAAATGTTTATAAATACCTAAAGGGAGGTGGGTAACAAATGGATGAGGCCAGGCCCCTCTTGGTGTTGTGTAGTGACAGGACAAGGAATAATGGCCTAAAACTTACACAGGAAGTTCTGTACTAGTATGCGGAAGAACTTCTTTATGATAAAGGTGACAGTGCACTGGAACAGGTTGCCCAGAAAAATTGTGAAGTCTCCTACGGAGATATTTAAGACCCTTGTGGACATCTGCCTGTGCGACCTACTGTAGGGCACCTGCTTTAGCAGGGGGGTTGGACTCAGTGAGGTCCTTTCCAACCCCTGTGATTTTGTGATTCTCTGATTTGACCCAAATAGGAAGTATGAGCAACTTCAGGTTCGTACCAGTTTTTGTCTGTTTAAGGAATGTTTTTTTTTTTGCCTTCTATCGTGCTTCTGCTTTGCCAGAGTGGGAGTAAAAGGAAATGGAACGTTACTGCTTTTTGAGCTTTTTTTTTCTACCTTGTCACATTACTGCAGTGATCATTACATGCTTCAGCTACATTGCTACACAGCAGTATTTTTTACTGCTGTCAATAGGCTGGGAGATTACTACTTCACAAACACTGAGGACAAGCATGATTTTTTTTTAAATACGCTTTTAAGTCCCATATTAAACACATATTGTTTAATCATTACACACATCAAATTATAAAATAAACTGAAACTTAGTAGTGCACCCTCAAATGCTATGGTTATGTCATCTCCTGAAGTCATCTGCCTAGCTGGCACTTTACATTTACACTTGCAATTCCCACTTGAAGCAACGATGGAGGCATTTAGCTTACTCTCCTGTGGCCTTGGAAATGTACCCAGAAACACAGGGGCACATTCTGGCTCCTGCTCTTTGCTAGTAATTCAGCACTGGCACTGAATGACTCTTGAGAAAATCCCCATATCTTTTCTTCACCTGCATCATACACTGCACTCCACAGGAGCATGAATGCAACAGGGCACACTGGCACAGAAGCAGAACTTTACACAGTTCCCACCTGCCATCATTCCAAATGTGTCCACTTGCATCCATGCAACAGCTGCCCAGTATGCAATTAAACTCTCCTCTACCAGTTGCTCTCTCCCCAGGCAAACATTTCAAAAGCCAGGACAGCAGAGGACTGTCTGGGGGTCTCAAACAGCACTGCATGCATGGCCAACCAATATCCAAAAAAAAAAAAAAAAAAAAAAGCCCTTTCTGTGAATCCCACCGTGGAGGTTAAGAACCAGAAGCGACAGATAACCAAGGCATAACTAACACAAAAACACCTTTTCTGGATGATGGATTCATAAACCCTGCAAGGAAGTTTTCAGTATGGCAGATAAGAAACAGTCACACATCCTTGGAACCCGCAATTAATTTAATGAGATAACCAAGCAGTAACAGCTAAGAGCCAGTTGTCTTCCTAGAGAGGTTTTAGAGCAGTTTGCATCCAAGATGATGAAGCTTTGGCTTCTACCTTTAAAAAGATTCAAAAATGCTATCCCGATTTGCCAAGTTTTCAAAGTAGAAATGCCTCCCTGAACTCTACCACACTGCAATAAGGTGCAACTACATGGACTTCAGACACTGAAACAACACAAGAGGAGCTATTTCAAATTCACACTGCACAGATCACACTTCAGATCCCAGCCCACTCTTCCCAGTTATGATATTCACCTTCCCAAACAGTTTCACAGCACGCGTCTTTGATAATCCCAGCCTTCAAACACTTGTTCCTGTTATGTCTACAAACATCTACATATTCAAAACAGTCTCTGAAGCACACGCTAAACATCTGTTTCAACCATTTTCCTCTTTAGAGTTTGAGCTGTTTCCTGGAAAACTGCCATCCTAATGGCCAGTTCCTCAGTTAGCAAACTGGAGAATTCATTTTGTATTTATTGATTATTCCCTAATGAAGAGTCATAAAGGTGCTGGAAAATCCTGACCAGACATTTCTTAATTAGTATCAAAGCACATAAAATCTCAAATCAAACTGAGCTCTTTGTCCAAAGTCTCAGTCACTGGAAAAGAAAGAGATGAAATCATTTTCTGCTTACACAGAAGTCTGTACATTTATATTAAAAAAATAAAATGTACGGAAATTAATAAAACTATATAAATTACTCATTTCCTTCCAGTTTCTAAAAAGGCCAAGTAGGTCTTCCAGAATGAAATCACACTTTACTGAAGGAAGTATTCTTCCTGAAGGGACCAGCTATATCTATCACGTACAGAACTTACTGTAAATGAAAAACAAAACAAAACAATATAGCATTTGCCTTCTGGAGAATATGAAGATTTGTATTACATATAAAGACACAATACAAAGCATCCAAAGTATTTAAAACTACCTCTAATGGATCTGTCTTTTCATCACCGTGGTTTATAAGACAGTCAAACTTCAGTGTTCCCTCAGCCTATGCTGGGCTGGTATGTTTTCTGATGGTACTCTTGAGAAGACATAGAGATGAGCAAAAGCGCCCTTAAATGTCAAGGTTTTTTGCTCAAAACAAGCCTCAAGAACATTCTGAATAACTGATCTCTCCTAGCAAGTCTTTCAGGTTAAGCCATCTTGAAAGTTAATTCCTTGTCTTCCATATCATTTAAGTTCTCAATTAAATAACTGAGAAAATAGCAGGAAGGAAAAAAATAACAGAAGGAGGCAAAAGCCCATCCTCACATGGCAGCAACTGCTTCTTTTGTTATTCTCTGCTTGTTGAATCCAGAGTGGGAAGGTGGCTAGAATTCTTCAGCATAGCATAAAAGGCACACAAGGGAATAAAGACTTCGTGACAGAACAAAACCTCATCTTGTTAGTATCTATAAACATCCCCACTAAATTTAGATCTTCTCATGACAGTCTGCAGTCTCTAAGGTAATTATTATCACACATATAAGAAAATGCCATGCAAAGCCAAAACTTCAGTCACCCATTTTCCTAAAATCTACCACTCTAACACCAAGTGTTTCCTCTGCAAAAATTCAGAATTGTATTCATAGGGTCAGTTCAGTACTCAGCAAACTCCACAACACTAACTTTAACCACATGAAGCTTCCAGCCCCCTTATCACAACGATAAACAAATATATTCCACTCTAAAGAGCAGTTCTACGCAGTTTTGCAAAAACAGTAAATGAAATAGGACAAGCTTATAAAGGACAAATCAACCGTGCTAAGGCAAAGAATGCAAGAAGGTAGAATAGCAAAAACTTGTGGGCCTTACTGGATATAGGAATTTGGCTTCTTTGCTGCAATCCATTACTTTTCTCTATTCTTCAAACTGCATGCTTTTTGGTAGTCTTATAATTACACTGTAGAAAATATCTTTGCTAAACCAGATAATTTCAGCATATCTTCCACAGAATTTTCTGTTCCCAGTAGATAAGATCAGATCACCACATATTCAAGAAAATGAGCTCCAAAATGGTACCAGAGAAAAGTGCAATACAACAGGAGGGCCAGCTAACCACAGAGTAGCTTTGCTAGGGTCACCAGCTTGCTGAAAAATTAAGCCACATACATAGAAACCTCTGCTTACCCCTTGCTCAGATTCCAGCAGCTCTGTTTTAACTCTGACTGCCGGCATCCCATCCAGCATTAACATTCTGTTTTCAAAAGCGCTGACGTCCTGGAGCAAAAAAAGACAAGAGTAATTACAAAAGACATGAAAAACATTTGACAAAAGTTGTAATTCTATACTATTATAGAAGTAAGTTTCTTCTAAATGAAGTTCATGAACATGTAATAATAATCACAGAATCACAGAATCACCAAGGTTGGAAAAGACCTTCAAGATCATCCAGTCCAACCATCCACCTATCACCAACAGCTCTCACTAAACCATATCCCTCAACACAGCATCCAAACGTTCCTTGAACACCTCCATGGTCAGTGACTCCACCACCTCCCTGGGCAGCCCATTCCAGTGCCTGACCATTTTTTCAGAAAAATAGTATTTCCTGACATCCAACCTAAATCTCCCCTAGCGCAGCTTGAAGCCATTCCCTCTGGTCCTATCACCAGTTACACAAGAGAAGAGGCCGACCCTCATCTCACTACAACCTCCCTTCAGGAAGTTATAGAGAGCAATGAGGTCCCCCCTGAGCCTCCCCTTCTCCAGGCTGAACATTCCCAGCTCCTTCAGCCGCTCCTCATAAGGCCTGTGCTCCAGACCCCTCACCAGCTTTGTTGCCCTCCTTTGAACACGTTCCAGGGCCTCAATGTCTTTCTTGCAGTGAGGGGCCCAAAACTGAACACAGTACTTGAGGTGTGGCCTCACCAGAGCTGAGAACAGGGGACAATCACTCCCCTGCTCCTGCTGGCAACACCGTTCCTGATGCAAGCCAGCATGCCATTGGCCTTCTTGGCCACCTGGGCACACTGCTGGCTCACGTTCAGCCAAGCATCAATCAATACCTCCAGGTCCATGTCCAGGTACATGTTAATAACGTGTAATAATAATGTTAAACCACTGTTTTAGTAACGGACAATATGTGCTGAGAACTTCTGTTAGAAGTGAGAGCTGCGAAGCTGAAATTGTCTGCATCGACATCCTCATTTATGAATGCCCCATTCCACTGTTTCCTGAATTTTCTCATGGACTATGCAGAACAATCTCCTGTGCCTTCAGTTCAGATCCCACCTCAGCCTGAGTTAATTTTATAATGCAGCCAAGGCTCAAGTCTGGTACTTGAAAGTGAGCCCCTTCAGCTGCCTTTTGGATTGGACAAGATGCTGAGAATAAAGATATTTTATCACTCTAATGACAATATGACCTGACGAATCAACACACTTTGGTCAGTTGTATGGAAATGTGAAAGCCTCAGAGCTATTTATCAAATATGAAACTATGACACATATACAAGCTTTTAAGTGACTTTCACAGCTACTTACTTATTTGTGGCCCCCTCTGGAAAGCAGTACTTGAGAATGGAAACTCACTTTCACTCTGTTACCACAGAGACCTCAATAAATGTACTGCAATGGAAAAAAAACTTTTTTTTTTTACATGTTTCACTGGCAGCAGATCTGCTCAGCACTGTGTGGTGCCATTATCCATAAGGAGTTCCTATGTTAACTGCCCTGTTCCTTATCATGAGTCCTTCAGAAGAATTTTTAAGAAAAACCGTATGCCCTAATGCTTCCTAAAAGCTTCTGAAACATGCTTACTTTTCAGCAATAAGTTCTGTACCCATTGATTATTATTCAGTGTTTGAGGCGCAGGTTGGGGAAAGCAAAGGGAGGAGTATGACGCCATGGAATAGCTCTTGGAAATCACTCCAGGCTCTACATCCCTCTTCCCAGCAAGGGCTGCTGCACTGTGTTTACTCATCACAAGCGAATCTCATGCCTTTGGGCATTACAGTGCCTCAGTGACTTGGATGTGCTTTGGGGTGGAGCAGCAGCAGGAGCCAGGCTGGCATTCTGGGCTCTCCCAGCACCTGTTCCGCAAGCAGGGAAGTCCCCCTACATTCTTGATTTATAAGCAGCACAGTTGAGTTTTACAGAAAGATCAGGAATATACCATAATAAAGCATCCCTTAGGTTGTTTAGCTTGTTGACAAAGAAGGATGAGCAGATATTGCTTTGTGTCCCCGAGGAGGTCTTACCCAAATGAAAAAAGGGACTTGCTGCAGAAGGCACAAGCAGGAGGAGGGGGGAAGACAAAGCACAACCGAGGAAAGGCATGTTTAATGAACTGTTAGAATCTGATTAGAGGCTAATGTCCCTTTTAGTGCTTTGTACCAATTTATGGCTGATATACTTGAACCGTTTTTTCCCACTGGCTGTGATAAACTCATTAGCTCTAAAAATGCAAGCTAACCAGAGCCTTTGAAGTTTAAAACTGATAAATCATGAAAACCTGACTGGTTCATGTACCATTTAACACATTCACATTTAACCAATTTTTCCCAGCACCTGTTTCCCTTTTGTTGTCTGAAATCGTATTTCTTAAAAGCAATGCTATGCCTTTAGAGTGTAGGTCTGAAGAATGAATACAGTGAACAGTGCTGGCTTTTGGGTCATTCATAATTCAAGAGCAGCAACAATCTCAGGAGTAGATTCTTTACAGACTATTTGATCCTTCTGCATTTGTAGCTGAAAAGACATTGTGTGACATATCCGGGCAGACCTGAGCAGATCTAATCCGTGCTTTACACACACAGATGAAATATTTAGCCCAGCATTCACTCAGAGAGCTGATCTCTCCTAACTCCACTCTCCTGCTGCAACAAGGCTTTGCTCTACAGTATGCTTAAAGCCATTCTGCAAATACAATATAATTGCTGAGGCTTGTGTACGGTGGGCAGCCATTTAAGGAGAACAGACTCAAGTGAGACGGGTGGTGAGGTGAATTCAGCTTCCCTTGGAACCCCTTGGTCAGCTGGGCCAGATGGAGCATTCACACCTGAGCGAGGCCAGGCTGCTCCAGTGCCCCATGATAATTTATTACACTCAGGAGACCCACCAACCAGGATTGCCGATATGATGTATTAAGTCAAAACGTTTTTCACACCACACTTCCCTCCTGGTTCACTAAACCCTACTGTGGCAGCTAAATTGCAGCCCTCTCACATGTGAAGGTGATACGAACTCTTGTGCCAGCCTCTGATGCACACCATCCCACCTCCCAGCCCTGCCCACCTGCTGGACCCCACTCACCCACCCAGGCACAACACAGCAGATGCATAGTCTAAACTAGGCATATCACCAAGCCTAGCTCTACACGACTTTATGGAAACATCTGCTATCTTGGATCAATAAACTAACTGACCCTAAAAGAAAAAACCTCTGTTTCTCACTGCTATCAATTTCAGCCTTTCACTGATCAGGTTTGGACATTTACTGTCTTGAAAAATGAACATAAAACACCAAGTATGTGCAATTACAGTTATTAGAGCACAATGACTACCATTACAGTAACTGTCACAGGAATCAAATACATTATAAGGTTTACATGCTCCTTTTCTGAGAAGACATCTAATAAGAAACCACTATTTTTGAGAAATGCAGCATCAGTCAGTGGAAGAGCATTTCCAAACACAGCTTTAGATTTACAGTAAACAAGTTTCAGTCTTAATGAGAGCATGCTCAAAGAGCTAAGAGCAGAAGACGGCCCCTAAAAGTCTTCCTATCTCAAAGCTATGACGGATAATTTGTCTTGCTTCTTCATCTTTGAGTCGTTTTCACACAAGTTTTCTGCACACACAGGAATTTCAGAATTCATCATTTTCTCAAACTTTGAGTCACTTTTGCAGGACTCCCAAATTCATTGTTTGCTTTTTTTTTTTAATGACAGACAACTTAAATGTATTACAGAACTACAAAACAGCCCACATCCCTTCTACACTCTGGCAATAAGATGACTGCTGTTTTTTTCTGAAAATGAATACCTGAATTCACACTGTTCTCATTACTTACATTACTATACTGAAAATACAGTATCCATCAATCAAAGCAATAAAGCAATAGACAACTCAGGTCAAAATATCTGAAGTGATCCATGCAAGGTAAAGCTTTTGAAAATATAATTGAACATTTGAATGATATAACAACATGATTTTGAAAGTTTGAAATGCTTCTTTTTCTCAGGTTCAAGGGAAACCAGAAGAATCAAAGATCATAATCTCTTCTCAAACACCACTACCACCTCTAAGGAGAGAAGGAGAAACCTTCTTGAATTCTCACAGGAAGAAAGCATGAAACTGCCTTTTAACTTAATCTCCTATGCTTCCTTAAGACCTTCATTTCCAAAAAAGTAATTTATACACCAACACAATGACATGTTAGTTGTAGAAATGATGTTTCTTTTAGGGTAAAGCACACAAGTTAACATTGCCACAGTACGTATCCTAGCAGTTCATTCCAATAAGCGAAGGAAGCAACCATCCAATAGAAAATAAAAGGAAATTTATGTGGCTAGAAGGTAATCACTCAACTGGGAATTCTGCCAGGGAATCGGGGTTAACAGTCCATGTCTTGCCATAGGATCTTCATCATATGCAATTATGTATATTGCCGTGTGAAATGCTTAGAATGAAAGCAGAAACTCTGGTAGTTCTGCATTTTACTCTGAACTTGAATTTCATGTCAAATGCACCAGAAAAGAAAAGGATCATTTGCATTTATTGATGCTTCAAGGAAAAGGAAAAAAAAAAAATAATAAATGGTTGAACATTAAATTTTCATACTATTTTCAAGTGAAACCGGGTGTGGTTTATCTCATTCCATTCCAATTCAAAGTTAATTTCCTTAAGTGAGAGCAGAACTTAGAGTTTGCAGAAGCCTATGTGAACAACATGGACATAAGTGCTCTGTTTTACATCTTATTTAAGTGACAATTTTAAATAGAACAGCAAAGGACTTCTGTGAATACCCCAGGACATCAGCTCAGCATGAGACTGCAAACAATAATTAACTACGGCTAACCCTGCTAGCCTTATAAAGAGCTGGGGATGAACCCAAATGTAGTTCATAAAATTCCAAACATTACATCATGCCAGAGGAGGCTGTAAGGCTACAGAAGAGGTACATATCACACACACATATCTACATGGCATCCAGTGATTACATACTGTCATGATTTTATGATTTCTGGTTATCGGTATTCCACATCATAACATCATG